AACGTTTTCATAATAAATAGTCATTAATATCCCATTGATCAAACGTAACCGTTTTCTTACTAAATAATCATTAATGTTTTTGTAACGGACGGTTCTCAGACCGCCCATGTAACCCTACCGGTCCGTTGGGTCGCGGGTGAACCGGGTCCACGGAGGGCGGGTGTTACAATTTGGTATCAGAGCAGTTCGGTTTTGTGAAAAAAAACATATTTTGTCAACTTGGTCAAAGGGTATTTTCAAAAAGTCCACAGCCGCATCTCCCATCACATCGCTCCCAGGGAAAGGTACACCGTTATTTTATTCACATGTATGTCATATTGTAATTATTTATGATTCAAGCTTCTCATAGAAAATGAGCCAAGCAGTAGGCAATGACAGATAGGTAGATCCACATAGGAGTGCCTGAGCACGTGAGCGCACAATGAAGCGTCAAACTAACTGTGTTATGCGCTCACTTGTTCCCATTTCGACACTCTACGATTGTTAGATGAGTACCATGAGTACCGGAAGCGTGTCAAGCGTTGACTCCAGTCGAACCTTCGTGCTTGGTAAGAGACGAAAGAACAAGAGGCAAAGTTATGATTCGAAAGAGCGCTACCAACATGCACATCGCAAGGCACTTGTCCCAACCAAACATGTTCCTTGAATGAAATTCTTCAATTGGTCTCTAATCTATTATGCCCTCGTATGTTTCACAAAACAAAGTTTTAAGTAACGCACTATCTCCCTAAACACGTGAGGTGCGACTTAGAGAGAATTTCGGGGACGAAATTCCATTAAGGGGGAGATAATTGTAACGCCCTACAAACCGGCCTAATAGTTAGCCAATATTTTAAATAAATAAATATTATTTATTTATTGAGACTCATTATTTTAAATTGATAAATATTGAGATTTCGATCTCTTTAAATGGGTTTTAAAAGCTAATGTGTTTTAATATAAAAGATGTTTTAATAACGGACCTCTCAACATTAATTAAATGAATTAATTAATGATTGGGATGGACCCGGAAGTTTGAAAATAAAGTTCTTAGAAAAATTGTTTGAACATGTCATTACGTAAATTACTAGCTTTAGTAAGAAATTTACCTTAACGGTGAAAAACGGAGAACGGAGAAACGGTCGGGAATGGTTTTGAGGAGATGAACGTAGTGCCAAGCGTATGAAGCCTCCAACGTATCCACACGAACTTGCTCCGGAGTCCTAGATTAAACTTGTGCTAGCAAGTTTAATATAGGATAGTAAAAACTATAATAATACTACTTTGGGAGTAATAAATATATAGTAAAAAATATTTATCTTGTAAATATTTCTTTATAATATTTTGTGTATATTTTAACACTTTAGAAAAATAATTTTGAACACAAAATAATAATTTTTCTCCTTTCTCTCTCTATGGCCGAAATTCACACATATGAAATGGAGAGGGATCTCATTTTATAATACATTGCATTAAGGAATTGCTAGGAAATTGCTTAGGGACAAAAACAAATTAGGCTTAATGCATTGTTCCCAACCAACACAACAAGACAAATATTCTTACTAATCAAATATTTGATTATATGAATCAAATATATCATTAGGTAAAAAATCAAAATATGTTTTGTATTTTTTCTCTTGAAATTTTCGGCCATATCAAATTTGTAATATATATAATATATTATTTTACATCAATAATTATCATATAATTAAAATGATGAAAAATAATATATATATATATATATATATATATATAAAATTTGTTTTGTCAAAATATAATTATCATATAATTAAAATGACACAAACAAAATATAATTTTAAAATACATATGTTTTTTCGAAATACATATATATATAAAATTATCATAACTATATATTTAATATTACTCCCACTAGTGTAGTATAGTACTCCCTAACAAGTCCTAAGTGTGTGACCCTTTAGGTATCCATAACACTAGCAATGATATTAATATAAATTAATACCATAGATAATAAGCGGTATCTAGCAACACATTATTACCCCCAGATTATGAAAAAGACGTTCATCCCATCAATACCTTCTACGACACAAGACGTTCTATAATTATTATCCTTCTGTCCTAAATGTCATGATTTAACACAAGGCATGAGATGTGTATCATTGTATAGTTAAATCAGCTGTTACTGAATCTCAAGTAGACTCGGAGCGATCAGATATTTATCAATCTCTGGAAAGCGACATATCTGGGCTGATTGGGAATGGCCATGCACTTTCCCAAGTCCTACTATTCAGTGGGCCCATTGACATTATACTTCTATACAGTAGAAGGGACAGATCTTGTATCTGTTATTCACATCTCCAAATATGCTTAGCGGCATACGCAACGCATAACTGTACGTCTACCAGTATTTCAGATAGAATTAGTTATGAATCAAAGCATACGACCCCACATATTAGAGAATGTAATAACTTCAAGTCTGAGGATAGTTATAGCAAGGTTGAATTGAGAATACTGATAAACACATTAATGTAGATCCAGTCACATACTATCGATATAATATGCACCTACGTACAGATTAAGATATCACAATACCTATAGTCTATGAGACGCAACTATCTCATCTTGTACGTACTAGTCTTGATACGTTATGACGTCCGTATTATCATAAAGTGCGACTAGGGATATTCTAGACATAGCCTTCGTCAAGAAGTAACAGTCTCATAATCAGAACATCGTAGTCCTCATCTATGTTACTGAAGCGCTATCGTCTATGGACTGAAGCTATGTTATGTTACACGAGATAAAAAACATACTTCAAGACCTTTCATTCATGATAAAGTGTACAGTTACATAGGTATTTGATTGCCGCTAGGGCACCTAAATACAACACTACCTTATTGGAGGAGTGATGCGTAAACTGAAAGGTAATATCTCCTGCACACATTTCTCAGAGAAACTTACAATCATAAAAAATAGAGCCAAAATAAGAATAGTAACTCAAGGGCGACTGAAGCCGGTCAACTAGTTCTTTGCAATCACAAATCGCTCGGCGCCATCCTCTGGCTTAGATCTAGCTCAACGCCTCTTTAATGGCCTCTGCTTCTCTTTGCCCAAAAATACCTTAGCGATGAATATTTTTAGTTGCCACAAAACTACCCTCTTGGTCCCTAGCAATAAAGGCTACACCAATGTGGCCCTTCACAAGTCCCATGGAAGCTTCAATATTTACCTTAATAAAGTTGGGAAGTGGTTTCTCCCACCCCCTGCTCGATCCTTAAGTGCTGGATGCGTGCTCGACCATCATTCCTCAAAAGCAAGCTGCACCCGAGTTCAAACTCTTAGAGGAGAAGTGGTCTCCCCCCTCCAAATCTTTGCTTTCCAGGCTGACCAAAGAGTCCAAAGGATATAGAACACAAGAGCTTGATCTGTAGCATTGAAAAGATAAAGCACTATCGGCATTGCTGACATCAATTTCAAAAAGGGGTGCACCACTAAAGAATACCATCTCAAAAAAGAAGTCCCCCAAACTTATTGATCGGCAAACTGACAATTCATTAGAATATGTAGCATTATCTCCTCTGCACCATGGTAGAAGAGGCAAATATAATGGACATTCATCCTCCTATTTAAGAAAGAAAGAATATTATTCACGGCTGGCCTAATCAATTTACACACCTTTAGTAATGCCCTCACCTTCCACACCTTCCTCCACAAGCCTGCCACCCCCGTATTTAGTCAAATTGGATCATCCCATGTCAGTATTAATACGCACTCTTCACGGTGTAAGTCTCAATTTTATAAAGCCTCCAATATAACCGATCTTCCCCTCCAGATGTAGTCAGCGGAATCCTTTAAATGGCATTTATGCCCTGGCATTGAAGATCCCCTCCAAAAGTGGTCAGTTCCACTATCCATTTTTCATCAAGTCATCGACAAAATGTAAATATTCATGCTTAAGATTTTCTGAGGTAATGTACGGGATGCTACTGTCCACCAACCAAGGGCCAATCCATGTATGAATACTGCTCCCAAGCCCTACTTTCCACTGCAAACCACTACACATCAAATCTTGGGTCGCTAATAAGCTACACCAGACAAAATTGGATTTTGAGGTGGCATGCGGGAAGGGAAGGGGAACACCGCCCCACCTCCCTCCCCTTGCGGGAGCAGGAAGAGTGGGAGCCCCTCCCCGCTTTTCCCACCCAATATTTAGGTGTTTCTTTTTTTTTGCTTCCTCGTTCTTCCTTCTTTTTTTATTGCTTTTTTCTTTTATCTATTTTGTTGCTTCTCATTTTATTTGTTTTATTTTTCAGTTTTTAATATCGATTTTGAATTTTTTTTATTTTTTTAGTTTTTTATTTCTTGTTTTATTTTGAGTTTTAAAAGTTTGTAATATTTAAATGTATTTTATATATTTAGATTAATTGTTTAAATTAAATTAAGCATTAAAAAATAATATTAAAAATTGAAAAGTAAATTTTTATTATTTAATTTTTTAGTCTAATTATTTAAATTAAAATAAGTGTTAAAAATAATTAAAAAGTAAATCTGTATTCTTTTTGTATTTTTAGTTTAATTATATAAATTAAAATAAGTGTTCTGAAATATAAGTAAAAAGGGAGGGAGAAAAGGGAAAGACATTTTCGTGGAAGGGGAAGGGAAAGAGGTTGAAAAATANGGGGGGGGGGGGGGGGGGGGGGTTCTATACCCCCTGATTTTCAGTGGTTTTGGAAGCCACTAAACAAATTGAACAAATTATTAGTTCTCTACTCAGTCTCGATCTCAACTCACCCTTTTAAACACGTCAATTTTGGGATTTAAATTTAGAGTAAAAAATAAGTCAACTAAGGGGCTGTTTGGCAACTTCTGAATCGGTAAGTGCTGAACCAGCAAGAGGTCTGAACCATTAAGTGCTGAACCAGTAAGAGGTGTGAACCATTAAGAGCTAGTATATTGCTTAACTATTCAGAGGCAAATGTTTGATCAATTCAGATAAGAAGTCTTAACCATTCAGACTCTGTATAATACTTAATCATTCAGAGGCAAATCTCTTAACCATTCAGACATCTGAACCATTAAGAGGCTGAAACAAACAGTCTGAACCATTAAGTGCTGAACCATTCAGACATCTGAACCATTAAGAGGCTGAAACAAACAGCCCCTAAATCTACACCCGCAATTGAAGTGGTTGGAGGTGGAGGGTTGGGGAAGATGGGAGTTTGCGTCAAGTAGGATCTATGTGAGTAGCCTAAGTGCCTAATTTGTTGCTTCCCAAGATAAGTGGCTATATAGAGCTAGGGAATTTTTTCTGGGTGGTTTCCCATTTAGTGAAAAAAACATGATACAAATTCCTAAATTTGAAAATTATTTCCGATCTGTAAAATGCGGGTTCGTCGAACACAAGTTACGTAAAAAGAAAAAAAGGAATCACGCATGCTGCCACCCAGCATTAAAGCTGAGGAATTCCCTCACTCGAAAAAAATTTAGAAAGTAATTTCCTCAACCACACTTTCGCATATAATACATCAAATCGTTTTTTTTAAATTATATTTTGTAATTAACTGACACCAATTTGGATGGCAACCATCCTCCCACCCTATTTCACATGCAACACATGCAATTTTTTTTAAATTTTATTTTGTACTTGGTTGGTAACCATCCTCCTAACACAACTAAAAATAGGGAATGAAAACTTACTAAAACATTATAACTACCATAATTAGGAATAGGAAGCTAACTGAAATACAAAGACTACTATATATAATTAATACTACCATCCCCGCTAGGTGAACTAAATCCGTTGTGTAATGCTTCAAAATACACCCTAAAATTTTTTTTGAATTATTATTCAATTAAACAAATTATTTTGATTAAGATAAATTATTGTTGAACCTTGTGCCAAAATGAAATATGTTTTGAAATCCAATAACATAAACTAGATAAATCTCATGGATATAAATCCAAAATGCAATTCCATGTGTCATCTTGAAAGTCAATTACAATTTGAAAGTCAATCACAATTTGACATTTTCTTATTTTTATACTTGGTCAAACTAGAAATTCCTTTTTGCAAACATAGGCAGTAAGTATTTTGTATTGGATAGGAATGAAAAGGGGTGGATATTAAAAAAGAATGTAGGAGGTGTGAATTACGAGTAAAAGAATCGAATATTTGACGTGTGAATATGTTGTCCCCTTTCATAAATATTGCGATAATTGAACTGGTGATTGGACATTTTTAAAAAAATTAAAAAGAGTAAATTCCATAAAAGGTACTCAGTTATAGGTCATTTTACATATTTAGTCCCTACATATCAAATATTACTAATTTAGTCCCCAATTGTTTTATCATTTTTCACGAATGGTCCTTTGTTAACATTTTTGTTAAGAACATGGCCTCCTTTCGTACTCTTTTCCAAACTTGTAGCTGAGTTTGAAGCTCTAAATCCAAAACTGAAATGATCATTCTTTTCTCAATTATTAGTCTTCTTTGGTGGAACCTAAAATCAAAATCAATAAGCTTTATGGATGAGTTTTATCGGTTAGTCTCAAGAAATTGCAAAGAAAATAAACATTAAAACCTATCCATGAAGGTTACTGGCTTTAAATTTGGGTTCCACCAGTTAGAAAAACAATTGAGACAAGAGTGATGATTTCGGTTTTGGGTTTAAAGTTTCAAACTCAGCGACGGGTTTGGGAAAGGAGTGCGAGGGGAAGGAAGAATCTTAATTGAGGAGAGAAAGAAGTGTGAATTTACAATTTTATCTACGTTCTTAACGAAAATGTTAACAAATGACCATTCGTAGAAATGAATATAATAATTGGAGACTAAATAAGTAATATTTGATATGTAGGGACTAAATATGTAAAACGACCTATAACTGGGGACCTTTTATGGAATTTACTCAATTAAAAAAACTCTTATGCATGTAGTACATGCGATTTTCCAAGTGAGGAATTTAGGGTTCCACTTGAGGAATTAATCTTTGTGTTTTTTCCAAGTGAGGGAAACCACCCTTCCCCGAGCCACCCAGCATTAAAGATGTCAGATTCCCCAAGCCACCCACTTGGTCAAGTTCGTGTTCGCTGAGTATCTGGTATTGCCACCAATAAGGCCTGAAGGAGAAGTATCGTGTTCTGGTCGCCGCAGACAAAAATGCTTCTGATGGTGTAAATATAGATGGTGGGTTGACCGGGTTAGACTTGAACACACTCGACCCGTAATATAAAATACACAACAAAAACACAAGGTATGACCTAGACCGGGTAAATCTCCTCAGTCCGAAATATATTTCTTACTCTGTCTCAAGAGTGTACTGTTTTTAGTGAGATCAAGAATGGATCTCCTCCTCTATCCAATATCATCATATTTATAGAAGAGGGTTTGTGTCCTTCCCCTGTTCATCCATGGACAAGATATACCCATCAGCTTCCAGGGGGGATGAGATGAAATGAACAATGGAAGGATTAAAACGTTAGAAACTACGTATGCTACATGTTATTGTTTTTTTGTTGTCATCTTAATATTTAGTGTATGTTATTTTTAAATTTTAGTTGATGTTGTTTTTAAATATTAAGTGTATGTTTTATTTTAAATAGGCAGTATTATGTTTAAAATTCTACACTGATCTGCTCCAAATTTTCTTACCCACGTCAAATTTCCGTGATTCGCCTCCCGCACCTCGTTGACGTACCTGCGCTTTCTTCGTTCATCGCCGAGGCTCAGCAACGTCGCCACCATCCTTCTCCTCGTCGCAGGACGTCGACGACCAGGCCGTCTTGCCCCTTTGCGCGCGCGTACTGTAGCGGCAGATTGGAGCGGAGGTAGCGACGGTTCTCTTTGGTTTGGATTTCAATTCTTTTATCATCGAGGTGAGTCGTGTTTATATGTCTATTGTTAGCTTTAATTTGTAGATTGGAATCCTTTTCGTATGAACCTTGCGATTGATTGTGAAATTGGGCTGATTGTGTGTTGAATTGATTGAATTTGAATGGGAGGTTTGTTGGGGCTGATTTCCTGCGTCACGCCGGCGGTTAGCCAGCAGTGGCTCTGGCTGACGTACTGGTCAGTTTAGGCAGGTCCAATTTGGACCCAATTGGTCAAATTGGGTTAGTTCTTGTGCAATTGGGTTCAGTTGGATTCAATTGGGTATGTCATTGGATCAATTTGGGTTGTAATCAGGGTTCGTTGTTGGGGGTTGTGATTTATGGGTTGTTGTGGGGCCGATTGGGCCGGTTTGGGGCCGGCTGCCGAGGGGGCAGTGAGGCTGCCGGGCGGTGGGCAGCCGCTTGGAGGGCTTGGTTTGTTGGTTTCTGGGTCGCCGGGTTGGGCCGGCAAGTTTCTGGGCTAATCCGGCGGAAGTTGTACTGTTTCGGCAAGGCAGCGGGCCTGAGGATTTAGTCCTTAATCCTGAATTCGCGATACAGGTAAGTTTACTTACTTCTGATGTTGGGTTTACTATATGTTTGAGCATGACGGTAAACGGAGTTCCGATGGTTCCGTTGGGCCTACTTGTGATGTTGATATCTTGAATTGTGATTTGGATTGAATTAATCTATTGGTGATGAATTGTGGACTATGATCATGTACAGAGATAGATCACCTAGTTAGTTAGGCCGGTGTTGACTAAATTGAATATTGTAGTCACCAATAGGATTGTTAGGATTCAAGTACGTACGGAAGTTCACGACCTATCTTCGGCACCTCTGAGGTAGGATATTCAACCCGCCCATTGGACACCTTCAGTGGGCTTGAGCATGGCCTCCTAGCACCTCTGGGAGTGTCCATGACTCTAGTTGTGAGAGTGACTTGTTTGTGAGGATTTGAATTGGAATATGTTGGAAATCTTAACCTTAAAGAATAATGTTGTCGGTTGTCTGATTGTGTATGAATGTGATACTGTCTGTGAATTAATTCTAGCATTAGATATATTCTCAGCGTGCAGTCTTTGTTGTCTTTGACTGCATGCAGGTGTTTTGTTGAAGCTACTCCCAGAGAGCAGCGAGACGGAAGGAGATGTTCTGGATGTAGAACTGTTAGTAGTTAAAGGATTGATTTGTTCTAATGAGATAGTATGATTTAACAAGCTTCCGCACTGTTTTGGAATAACTCCGATAAATAAATTAATTGTTTTTTAAACATTTGACCTTTATTTAAGTGTTTTAAAATTATTGTGTTTTGATACCAAATTAGTAGCAACCTGATTTTCCAACTCGTTGGTTTGGGTTATGCGGATTGGGGTGTTACACATCCAACGTCGTCTTCGTTGCCCTTCACTGTCTACTCTATCACCAACAAATTTCCAAGAATGATTCCAAATTCTCAATTCCTAAACTAGGCAAAGTCTCCTGCACTCGCATTTCTCATTTCTCGCACACTGTTGGCTTTTTTGATTGCTTTACCGACTAGCTTTGAGTTAATGCTGTGAAATTTTTCATTACGCTATTGGTTTTGGTAATCAGAAGTTCTTAGGGTAGTTCTTGTGGTATGTTAAAATCTATCAAAGTTCATGTAGAATTAAAACAATCCATGCATATGGATAATGGATTATAAAGAATCTTGACATAATGGGGCCAACATACATCTTCCGCGCAGCACAAAACTTTCTCTTCTTCTACATCATACGAAGTATATACTTCCACAAGTAGCACCTCCATGTCTCCCCTTCGACCTTGTCGGCCAATGTCGTCTCCATTGCCCTTCACCGTCTATTCCATCTTGGCAAAGTCTCTGGCACTCACATTTCTCATTTCTCACGCACTGTTGGAGTTTTCAATTGCTTTACTGACTAGCTTTGAGTTAATGCTGTTTAATTTTCATTGCGCTATTGGTTTTGGTAATCAGAAGTTCTTAGGGTTGACATTTCCAGTACTCATACTTGTAATCAATTATTCTAGTTATTAGGGTTAACATTTTTTTGTTATTCTATAATTTTTTTTAATTATTTTAGTAGATTATATAATCAATTATCCATTTTGGAACAATCTATACACTTTTTAGACTCTAAACAATTACCAATTGTAAAATACTGAGTATCTTAAAATCTATTGGAGTTCATGTGGAATTAAAACAATTCATGCATTTGGATTATAAAAAATCTTGACATAATCTTTTAAATTATGGACTGAATACACCTTTTAGTCGTTAAAAAGACTATTCTAAAATTTAAAATCACAACCATATATCGCTAACTGCCTGCTAAGTTTTGATTTCTTTGTTTTTTTCCCACCCAGTGAACCAGCTTTTCTTCGTTCTATGCCATCTAAGTTACCAGTTCAGAGAGAGGAAGAACCTTTGCCCTGATACCCGAAGAAGAAGTACAAAAATTAAATTTGAAGGATTCTTACTATGTCGACCGCAACTTACCCACCCCCACCCCCATTTTATAAGTTGTACAAGGACTACGTCAATGATCCAAGATCCGCTCCGGAACCCCCACCTCCTATTGAGGGCACGTACATTCTTTATGGGTGCAATTACACTGTAAGTCTTTGAATTAATCTTTTTTTCCTTCTGTCTAATAGTTGAAGTTTTTCTTGTGTTTGTGTGTGATGCTCAATTCCATTGACTTCATTAGTTATTTACCCTAGTTATTTTAATATTTTAACATACCATCAATATTTGATACTGGCTCAAGAATACTCCCTCCTGAAATAAACTTATTCAATATAGCTGACAGGATTATTCATTTGTTTGTTCCCTTTGGTGTTCTTGATTGGAAATCATGTTCTGAACATAGTGTGATATCAATGCAGACTGATGATGTTCTTCCAAGTTTGGAAGATCAGGGTGTTCGTCAGTTATACCCGAAAGGACCAAATATTGGTAGGATCTCTTTGAATGGTTTTTATTTAGTAAAACATGCTATACATGCCATCTTTCGTTAGTTAGAACCTAGTAGTATATTTTGCTACTCCCTTTTATTTTCAGAGTTTCACAAAAACACATTCAATTAGTTCAGTGTTGTGTTTGAGTATGCTCTCTATATTACAAGAGCTTGTTCACGATGACTTTTGAGGAAGAAGACCAATTTTAGAGTGTTATTTTAGCTCTTATAGCTTTGTACAATTGTTTATTTGCGACCTATTTTAGAATGTACTCACCGGATCGCCAAATTATGGAATATTTTTAGCAGATTAGGAAAACTGAAACCTGTTGTGATATACATATACTCTGGTATTATATTATGGAACACTCTTAGGCCATTTTCTCTTCACCTGATCTGATTGGTTTTGATATGATTGGAATAAGATCTGGTCTGATTTGATCTTAATGTAGTTATATTCAAAGCTATTCCTGATCTGCTCTGATCTGATTATTCCAATAAGAATAAGTAATAAGTAAAAAAAATAAGTTGGGGAGAACATGGCCTTAGTACCACTTCGAAACAAAGCACGCAAATAACACAAACATGTATATGCAAATTAGATTAGTACCAAGGCATATGGGTGCGATAATCACTCTGGTGGGTATGAAACAGCCACTTGATTCACTTAGGTCTGCACACTAGAAGAAGGTACTCTTTTCGGGTGAAACTGCCAGCGAGAAATTTGAGGAGGATGGAAGGGTGAAAGTTTGTGTAATTCTGTTATATCATCAAGTATGGCTTTAGTTTGATTTACATCTAACTTTTGACTTTAGATTTCAAGAAGGAATTGAGATCACTCAATAGAGAATTGCAGCTACATATATTGGAGCTTGCTGATATTCTAGTGGAGAGGCCATCACAGTATGCTCGGAGAGTAGAGGAAATATCTCTAATCTTCAAGAACTTGCATCACCTTCTCAATTCATTACGTCCCCACCAGGTATTTTTCTTTTTGTAATTCCTTCTTACACCAACACTTATTGGCTATTGCTGTTCTTTCTTATTCAAATTTTTTTTACCAAAGTTATATTATTGAACTTATTTCTACTGTTCTCTTTTGGAAAATTACATGAAAAATTAGCTCTGTTTTCACATGCGAACTATCATGCTCTTGCTTCCCGCTTTAATAGGCCAGAGCAACCCTTATCCATATCCTAGAATGTCAGATACAGCGGCGTAAGCAAGCCGTGGAGGACATTAAAAGGTATGCAATATTTGCAAGTGTTGGGGTAATATACATGTAGCCCGTCTCTTTATGTCGCGAAAGAATTAGATGGTGAAAAATGTAAAATGTTGCTGTAGAGAAAAGTAAATTCTCGAAGTATGTGTTACAGGAGGGAATGAATCAGATGTCGAGCCGTTAAATCATGTTTGCTTCTCCAATCCTTTCATTTATTTTATCCCCCCCCCCAAAGTAGATAGATTTCTCAATGTCCTCACCAGTAAAGACATTTGTCTGTGTGCAGAAGAAGAGAAGAAGCACAGAAACTTCTCAAGGAGGCGGTGGGGATCCTAGCGGGGCAGTAAGCTTTGGAAATCATTAGAAGGGCTTGAAGAACACGTATTAAGGGCATGGTGTCCTTCAAACAATGTGTAATAGACCCTTAGCTTGGTCATGCAAAGCTACTACACCCATGTATGATCTTGAAGAGGAGAGCTAAGAATTGACTCTAGATGGAATCAGATATATTAGGCCTAGTGATGTGAAAATGTACCAATTGTGACCTTTTGAATCCTTAAAGAGGCCGGGGGAGAGGTGTTTGGAGACTAAAGTTGGCATCAATAAGTTTATGATGAATATACTTTGTACTGATTAAGAAAACTTTAGGGTACTTAGTTTGTTGTTTGTGTAAGACCATTTGACCCTAAACTATAGTGTAAGTGGGGTTGAGGTCAACCAAAATGCGGATGAAGTTTATTTTTGCACATTTTTAAGCTAGAAAATGATCATCTAACACATAGTTACCTTTTTCAAACCAAAACTAAGGTTGTGTTTCTTCAATTTATTTTTTAATGACAGTAATGCTTATTTTTACACCTTTTAAAGTTGGAAAATGACCATCTATTTTTTCTAGCTAAAATTATATTTGTGTTTTCTGATTGATCTGATTTGATTCCAATGAGTTAAGTAATACCCTCTTTCTCCATTAATTTATTTCTCGTTTTCCTTTTTGGAATGTCCAAAATTTTCTTTTCCGTTTTCTATTTTGGGAATTTTTTTAAAAAAATGTGTCATTATATCACTACTTTTTTTTTTGCATTATTCACTTCATTCTATCACATCAAGAACATCACATGGAAAGTGTTTACACTTTTTAATTTTTCTTAATTTCCATGTCAAACCAAAATGAAAAAAATTTTTGACGGAGGGAGTAAGTAAAAGAATAAGTTGAGGAGAACGCAACTTTAGTTTTGGGGTGAGAAATGTAAAATTATGGGTTAGATTATTTCTTGATTTAAAAAGGTGTAAAAATAAGTTTTATCCCCATTTTGGTCGTTTGAGCGTCAATTTCAGATAAATTTGACAAAAAATATACTCCCTTCTTTCCGGTTATAAGTTGCAAAAGAATGGAATTTAAAAAGTGTAGAACATAATACTTCTTTCGTCTTGCAGAGTATTTCTTTTTTTTATTTCCACTCGACAACGCACAAGGGTCTCGTAGGCCAATGCACAGCGACTACCATTTGTGGGGCTCTCATGACCCTCGAGTACACTAACTAAAATAACTTTCATTTTAATTATTTCAAATTTAAAAAATAAAATTTATATACTTAAAAATACAGAGTATGTCAAAAGTTCTATAAATAAATAATTAGAATAATTTAGAACGAAAGAAGTACAAAACAACACTACTCGGTCTATTTTAACTGGAAACTAAAAATTGTTATTTGAATTTTATTACAATCCAATATCAAAGTCTAACTTCTGATACACTAGAATGTGAAACCTATAAGGAGGATGGAGACATGATGTGGGTGACCAAAAAAATGAGAAGACCTAGATGCCCTTCAACCAACCATAAACCAAACACCCAATTTTGACTGCCTTTTACGGCTTTACGTTACGTGTACTATCATTCTAAGCAAGTTTTGGTACATGTGTTTCCAACCACTCTTTTATACTCCCTCGGTCCCTTTTAGATTACAATTACAATATTTTCTTTAAGACAAAATTAAGGAAGAGTCAAATCAGTATTTTTCCCCCCAAATTACCCCTCACTACAGAAATGGGTGGGTGGGTGAGATTTTGACATTGAAATGATATAGGGGAAGGAGGGTAAAAGAGTCCATTTAGCGTAAAAGTAAACACTTTGTAATTCTTTTTGGGACAAAAATAAGAGGGAATATTATAATCTAATTGGGGACGGAGGGAATAATTATTATTATTTTGACTCGTGCGATACATGGGGTCGAATGAATTTTTTATCGTTTTAAATTTTTTCAATGCAATTTTTTCGGAATCAAGTAATTATGTTTCTCATATGATTTTTAATATTATAGAAAAAAATCTAAAGTAGAATATATAATATTTGAGAAATTACTCAACAAAGTTTGTTTTAATACCCAATTTTCTGAAAAACTTCAGGGTAAACAATATTTTTGGCATATTTGCAAGGGTTTTCATTGTCATCTAGAACCAATATTTTTAATCCAATATTTGTCTTCGCTCGTGAAACAACAACATAAAGTTGGTATTGAGTAACACCGACTTGGCTAAAAGTAATCTAACAATGGACAATGTTTGACTTTAACTTTTGTTGATAATCTTAGCAAAACATAAGACTATTGAAAAATATCTTCTCTGAAACTTGAGAGATAGTCCCGTATCAGATGGTACCAAATTCATTCATGATATGTAAACTTTTTTTTTACTCGATTTCCCGAAATCACAATAGCACCGAAAATATTTTTTCACAACTGTTCAACAATTAATCTTGTACCATTACACTACTCAGATATTTGGTCAATGTTCCTCAATAACATAATCGGTACCACTTTTTTAAAAATATTTTATGATTTGGGATCCCCGAACATTAAATTTCATTCAAAAACTCAATTGTCATTCAATTCCTATCAACACCTACATTTGAATCTGCATGGCATGTTAAATTAGAACTTAAGCACACCATTTCATCTTCAGAAATGACAGATAGGACAAATTCATTTACCATTTCTACAACCTCGAACGAGGATGCAAGTAGTTCCATGTCCTAAATAAAAAAAAAACTTTTTCATATTCTCCAATAGGTTCGGATAAGTGAAATGACTATACTCTTGAGGGGATAATTGTGTCTAGAATCAATAATTCAAACGGAATTTCAACATCAGTTGTTTCATCAATCACTTGTCTAACTTTTTTATCTCCAACTTTGATGATCCAATTAGAAAAATTTTATGTCCTTATCTACGCAAGAGGACATAGATGAATGCAATTTCTTATTCTTCATCAACGTATAAACTTTATAATAAGACCACAACTTTGAAGAGTATAATGGATGGTAGCACCTACAATTTCCCTTATCAAAGCTTTAGGTAAAAGTGGAAGAATTTTCCAAAAATTACCTCTGAGTACAACTCTTTTCCCTCTGAATTGTTCATTTCTTGAATTTTTTATTAGAGAACCTCTCATTGTATGTTTCACAGCTTCAAGAGCAAATATATTCATCATACATACTTCATCTCATATGATTAGAATTACTTGAATTGTTGGATTAGTTCTACTTTCACACTCCATTGTTTGATGGCACACAAGTGAGCACTCGTTTAGTGTAAAGGGATTGAGAATCTAGAGTTTGTTGTCTTTCCCCCAGAAAAAAGTAATACCGTAATACCACAAGATGCGACATTTAAGACAATCTTACCATTTGAATTTAGAGAAGCAGACAATGATTTCCATAGAATTTTTTTTTTCCAATTTCACTGTAATCATACACAAAAAATCTACATTCTCTTTATTCAGCTGTTACAACTTCCATTATTTCAATGTATATATCTTTTATTGATCTACATTCATCGTAGATATGTATCCCATAAGATCAAACTACAACTTTTCTTTTTCATAGTTTAAGTCATCTACCAAGAAATAATTTTGAAATCTATTAAGAGGACTGTCGACTGGAAATAACATCTCAATGAATTCCTTTAAAGACCACTAAGTATATTTGAAACGACTCTAAAATAAATTTGTAAGTGACTCTAAAATTATTTTTGTGTGATAAAGTTTATTCAAGATAATATTATACTATGTGAGAGTAGAGAAAATATATCCATAATTCTTACATATATTTTCAAAGACACAAATAAAAATAAAAGGTTTGGGAAAATCTTCACTTTAGTTGAGAGAAATTTGATCTTCAATAAAGTTATTGATCTTTTCATTTGTGTTCCTCCATTGCATTGGTTCATCTTTGACTTATGATCTCTTTGAAAACACTCTTAGAATTTAGAGTTATATGTTAACTAACGTAAATAATGTTTTACGTCATTTA